GCCAATTCTGTTTAGTAATTTCTTGGAGAAGGAAGCAGGCAGGCAGGTATTGAAAACCAAGAAAAGAGCCCACCCCACTCAACTTTTCTCATTCCATCTTCACTTCCAAAACCCAACAACCTGGGGGGAGTTTGGCCTCTAAAATTTCAGTTCATTATGACAAAGTACAGATATATTTAAACATTGAGGAACAAGATTTCATAACAGATTCTCCAATTAAGTTTCATTTAGATAAACCAAAAGTAGTGTACCTGAGCCAAGATAATGAAGATATTTCATGTATAATGTTGTTTTCTCAGAATCCCTTATGGATTGAAAAATGGAAATCATTGTAAATGGCTTAGGGTAGATGTCCAGTTTATATGCAACAGCTGCTTTCAAATGGGAAGGGGAAGGATGTCTAGGATACTTGAGTACAGAATATGGAAATATTGTGATGCCAGAGCCAAGAAGATCTTTTTGGGGAGATTAGGGGGTGCCACATTACAAACAAAGAACACATAACACAACTTCAATTTTATTCTTTCATATAACAACAGGACAAAGGAAAATAATGATGTTATAGCCTTTGATACTTGCTGGGAACAGGCAATCAAATATTTGTTTTAAATATTTGTTTTAAAGCATGAATTAAATTATCATTTGAGTGGTTAGGAAAAAATAGTCTCATCTGTCTTCAGTATACTGAAAATAATGTCACTTATAAAGAGCCAAGCTTGACTCTATAATGTGAGTTTAATTTTGGATACAAATTTGGTAAAGTGTTTGGCCAAATTTGGTAAAGTGTTTCATTACTCTATTAATTACATGTCCAATGTCTCTCCTTCTGTGAGTATTCCTGAGCTTGGACAGTGTTTACACTTAGAGCCACTACTCTGTAAAGAGTAGTAATGCCCCCATGTGTTAGTATTTTGGACCTGAGTTCAAATTCTATTTCATGCCTCAAAAACCTTCCTGAGTCCTAGTTGTCAGAGCCATAAAACCATCATCCGGTTGGTAGTATGCTATGATATAATCCATGACTCAGCTCAATCTAGAAAAGAAACAGAGAGTGTCTGGCAGATATAACTGGCAAAGCTAGAGGGAGAAAGAGAACAGGGAACTGGACAGGACTTTGAGCTACCTCAATTGGACTCTTGTCAATTCAATTCAACAAACATTTAGTCAACATTTGCAATTCTTGTGTCAGAGACTCCATCTTGACATTAAGAGTTCAGGTACCCTATCTCTCTATTTCACCTGCCCCTAACCAGGTGAAAATGGGAACACAAGTGCATGGTACTCTCCAAAGGGTATCTATCTAACAAACAGTTCTAAAAGTACTAAGACTAACCAGGCACCAATATTAGAATAGGTTATATTTATCTTTTTAAGAACAAAGAAGGAATTATTTCCTGAAACCACCGAATGAAAAAAGTTATTTTAATCTTCTGGTAGGTTCCCCTTTCCCTAACTTTGGGAGATCTTTATAGTCTTTTTGACTAAAAATACTGCCCTGGGTAGGGCTGCCAGAAAAGGCGAGGTCAAAGTTTGTCCTTCCCCATTGTTCACCTCTGTTCTTATTTTGGCTCTGCTATTCTGGCCTCTCTCTTGTTATCTCTCTCTCACACATCACTGCCACTGCCATCAGACTCCTCCTCAAGTCTGTTTACCAAGGCTCATTGCCATGAATCTGTTTCCTGGTCACTTGTGTTCAGTCACTGTGCCTCTGATGCATTTTAACCAGTCAAGGCCACTGAACTCTGGGTGTCGCAGTTCTGCTGCCTGGCCCTTCTTGTCTTCTTGTATTTCTTTGGTGTTCTCTTTTCTCTTAGCTATTCACAAAGCATGGTCAGCTAGAAATGGAAGGGCTTGGCCCTCAAAAGTATACCCTTGCCTGGACAAGGGAGAGAGTGTGAATCCAGAGGTTATCTCTCTTCTATCCTCTACTGCATCCCTGACAGTTTCAATAGTACAAAGCTTGACATCCTAGGAGCAAGAGTCTGAGAGTCACTGCACCCTGCATGAGGCAGTGTTAGCTCCCTGCAGCTAAGAGGGCTCCTTCTACCTTCTTCCCCCAAGTCAAAAATTTGCAGTCCCTGTAAATCGTTGTTGTTGTTCATTGTTCATTTTTGAAGAGGACTAATGGTATCAATGGGTGATGAGTTGTATGTGAATTGGATTTAAGCGAGGCAGTTGCACAAAGTCTTCAGTCTCACTCTCTCTTTCAGAGTCATCCAGCAGCCAGGCAAAAGCCAAGACAACTGGTGATGGCCCAGGATGCAGTGGATGACTTTGGCATCTTTGATGTCTGACCAAGCTCTAAGTGTTTCACAGCACTTGCTTCTGCTGCCTTCATGGCTGTTGGAACAGATTTTCTCATCTGACCATTCCACTGGGGGAAGTCTTCACATGCTTGGGGTAGACATGACCCTAATTCACCAACAGTATGAGGCCTATCAGTTACCCTCAACTTGATCTAGACTGTCGACCAAGATGGTTTTACTGGGGTGTGCCTACTGTTCATACTACAGTTTCCAAGAGCCACAGATGACAATTGTGTGGCAGATGGACACCAAAGGTGGATGAGCAGCCTCGAGAAAGACTCAGCAAGCCCTCATGCCAGAGGTGCTAGCCCTTCCTGAACACCCCATATACCCCTATGAATTGGTAAATCATTCTGGAAAGCAATTTGAAATTATGTGAGAAAAGCTGCCAATCTGTTTATACCTTTTATCTGGCAACATACCAGACAAGGTATGAAAGAAAGGTTTCAAACTATTTATAGAAGCATTTTTTATACTAGTAAAGACCAGAAACAAAATGGGTATTCATTGATTGGAAAATGAGTGAATAAATTGCAACAAATGAATGTTAAGAGAATATTTTTTGGAGTTACAAATACAAGGTATCCAGAGAAAGATGGGAAGACTTATTTGAACTGATGCAGTACAAAATAAGCATAACTAAGAGAACAACATGCACAATGACTACAATAATATGAGTGAAAAAAATACTGAAAGGCAGCTGAATGAAGATTAAAGGCAATGGCCTGTATTGAGGCCAGAGGACCTATCATGAAACATACCTCCATCTTCTCAGTAGAGATGTAGGAGACTACAGGTGCCAAATGTTGTATATGCTGTCACATAGTGTGGCTAGTTGCTTGGCTAGTTTTACTTAACTGTTCATTTTTATAAGGAAGGATATTTTGTGGGGGTATTGTAATCTCTATAGTTTAAAGAAACAAATCTGTCAATATTTTATACAGATTAAAAAATTAAGTGTCCACCAGCATGGTTGTTGAGTTACATCTGCATTCATGTCATCCTCTTCGGACAACTCCTGTTTTTATTCCTCATTAGAATTGTTTCCCTTTGGGTCTTCAGAATGCCATTCTTTAGTGTTTCCCACCCTTCCTGGGCTGACTTCTCAGAATTTTAGTACAAGAAACACTGTTTCTCAGCCCTTTGAAATCTGTTTTTTCCAAAATCAAGGGTGCGTATCAGACTATGCCCAGCTTTTTACTCCTTTACCACAAACTCTAGGAAGGAGTAGTCAGTTTGCCAAAAGATTCCCATCATTTCCACCCCACTAAGTGGGTCCTCCTATTCATGAGAACAGGCAGAGAGTACATCAGATAACTGGTTAATTGAATTCCACTAGCACTACTATATCTTGCTAGTCAGATTTGTGAAACTGTTTCACAAATTCACATATTTTTTCCTTATGTCCATGCAATCTGTAGTATATTCCAATGACAAACTCACTTCTGTTTCTCTGCATTGATCCTCACTCAAATGCTTTCCACTATATCTCCCCACTGTGGTTCCTGGATTTCCTCACATGAGTTTATCTTCTTAACAAATATTGCTACTCTAACCCCACCTATTTTTTGGGGAAAAAAAAGCATAACCATCCAGTACCATATTCTACTCGTGTCTTTCAGCCTACTAAGTTTCAGTGATTAATTCTAAGGTCAAATTTGCCTCCTTCTATTAGGACCTCTCCCTTCCCATATCTAATCATTGGTGAAGTTTTATCATCTCTACCTGCACAACATCTTTCAGATGTTCTCTTCTCTGCAGTCACACAGTCACCACTTCAGTTCAGGCCTTTATTCCCTCACACCTGGACTATTGCAATAGACTCTTAATTAGCCTCCCTATCTACTGTCTTTCTTCTCTTCAATTCATCCTCCATTTAGCTACCAAATTGTTATTCCTAAAAGGGAAATATGGTATGTTGTATACATATATACAACATTATAGAGCAGAGGTATCAGATATGCAGCCTGGGGCTATACTACGGCAGGCCCAACCAGATTAAAATGTAACTGAGAAATACTGAATAAAATAAATGAAAACTCAATAGATCAAAGGCAATATTAACATGTTGTTTTCTAAGTTAATGCAGGGTCCACAGGGATCTTTCTGTAAGGCTTAGTGGCCTCCATTTCTATTTGAATTTAATACCACTGTTCTATAGTTCTTATTTATTTTGCTATGTGTAGTCCCCCCCCCCACTACTACCAAGTTGTAGCTTCTTAAAAGGAGGGATTATTTTTCTGTAGCCTTTGTATACCCAACACCTAGAATAGCATCTGGCATGGAGCACATACTTAATAAATGTTTTTTTAAATTGATTTAATTGAAAATTAACAATTCCGAAACACATACAAGAAGAAAATGTAAAGCTCATAGGAAAAATAAATAAAATTGAAAACAAAAAGACAGCTCAGATTCCTTAAGAAGCTAGCCAATAGCTCACAAATATTCAGATTCCTTAAGAGTCTGGCCAATATGACGGATCTTTAATAAACCTTGTTTCTGGCCAGAAAAAAAAAGACTATTAAATGATAAATAAACCAAAGACTTGTTTTGATAAGATTAACCTAATTAATAAACTATTAGCTAATTGTGTGTGTGAGAGAGAGAAAAACCAAATAGGCAAATTTTTAAATGAGAATGATAAATATGTGAATTCTAGAGAATAAAGAAAATTATCAGAAGATACTGTACCTTATTACCAGCAGCAAAAGTGAAAATGTATACAAAATGGATGCATATCTACAAGAATATAAAACGCAAAAATTAACAAAACAGTAAAAAAGAAATCCTAGATAACCCAACCTCAGAAAGTAAGCCATAAATAAATTATCAAAGAAAATAACTGCTGAATCACTTGTAAAACAAGTGAAGTCCATCAAACACTTAAAGAACAATTAATCCCTATATTATACAGATTATTTTCAAAATTAATTAATAAGATCATACTAATAACAAAACAAAAACTGCATGATTATGTCAACTGGTATTTAAAAATGGTCTTTTCTTAATATGATCAAAAGCATTTATCTAAAACCTAGAGTTCCTATCATTTGTTATAATGAAACAATGGAAGTCTCCCTAATAAATTTAGGGTTGAAGCAAATATGTTTCTGTTTTTATTACTATTTGACTTGGTAGTGGAAGTAGTCATGCTAATTATAGCAAGAAGACAAGAGAAAGAAATTAAGGCAATGAGCATTGGCTAAAAAAAGAAAGAAGGAAGAAAGAAAAGATGGAAAATTATCCCTATCTGTAAATAGCATATCGGTTTACTTGGAAAACTCTAAAACTGACTGTGGTGGTATAGTCCTGTGATCACTGCTGCTGAGGAGGCTGGGGCTAGTGTTTCACTTGAGTAACAATTCTGAGTTGTAGTAGGGCTAAGGCTGATCAGGGGTGTGCATTCTCAGACTAATACAATGAACTTCCAGAAGTGGGGGCTACCAGGCCACCCAAGGAAGGGTGAAAAAGAGCAGGTTAAAGATTCCATAAAGATCAGTACGGAGATCCACCTATGAGTGGCTACTTTACTTCTAGTCTGCATGAGATAAGGAGAGTGAGAGAGAGAGAGAGAGAGAGAGAGAGAGAGAGAGAGAGAGAGAGAGAGAAGGAGGAAGGGAAAAGAAAATCAATGAAAAAATGAATTGAGGCTATTAGCAGCATCCAAAAAGTAAGTGGTAGGATACAAAATAAAACTTTGCTGGAAATGAAAGAAAAAAATTAAAAAGTCTCTGTTATCAAAGAGGTTACATTCCCTTGTGATAAACTGACACAGTATATATGTGAAGTAAATACAAAGTAATTTCAGAAAGGGTAAGAGGCACCAACTAGGGGTGAGAGAGAAAAGAGTCAGGAAAGGCCTTCTCTAATGGTTGTGTGCTTGGGCTTGGAGGACCATGCTAGACCCTTGAAATTAGCCCTTACCCCACGAAGTTTCTGGGTTGATTTCACCTAGATTTGTAGGATCCCATGCACCGTGGATAGGAAGGATTGAAGATGTTGAATATCTTTTTTTTTAGGGGGTGGGGGTGAGATAACTGGGGTTTAATGATTTGCCTGGGGTCACACAGCTAACATCATGTGTCTGAGGCTGGATTTGAACTCAAATGCTCCTGACTCCAAGGCAGGTACTCTATCCAATGTGCCACCTAGCTGCCTCGAGGTGTTGAATATCTTACTGTGCTGTACAGTGCATCTCAGTCTCCATCAGGGGTATGCTGGCAAATGTTTAACAACCAGATCTGGAAAATAAAAGAACAGACACACTTTTAAGTTTAATCTCCTTTATTAATATTTTCTCCATCACTTTCTTATGTCCAGACAATCAATAAAACTATAAATCAAGCCCTGATTTGTAGCATTTGCTGGTTCCAGGGTTTAAAAGCTCACACTAAAAACTGGATAATTGGCTCTTATTAGCATTCCAGCACACCTCTGATTCTAGCCAACAGATACAGTCCAGTCATTTTATGAAGAAAATCTGAAGTACATATTGTTAGAGCCTAGGAGAGAACTGGGCTTCTGGTCTGCAGCAACACTACGAGCCCAGGGTAAGCATTGAACCCTAAATCTCAGGGGTAAATATGGAGATGTTGGATTCTGGAGACTGCTGCCTGAAGAATAGAAATATTGAGAAAGCTAGGGTGCATTCAGCACTAGTGGGATAGAGTTTGTATACAAGGACAATACACACAAGCTCTACCCCCAACCAACTCCTGACCCTTTTGAGAACCGTCCTCAAAGAGCCATTAAATTTATATACTTTAACACTAGTACCAGAACATTTTGATAATTACTGCTTTACAATGGAGCTATGGTAAAGCTATAACCCCTTTTATTCCTGCTTCTTAAGTGATTTTGATCTTTTGACTCTATATGAATTGTGTTATTTTGTATAATTCTGTAAAGTGTGCCCTTGGTAATTTGATTAATATACCGCTAAAACTGTTGATTGATTCACTGTCATTTTTATTTCATTGGTTTGACTCAGCCCAACAAATACTTTCCCAATCATTTAAGCCTTTCATTATTTCTATAAACACGATTTTGTAGTTTTATTTATGTAATTTCTACTATATATATTTTGTAAGTTAACTCAGACAGTTTATGTATTTTTCCTTCTAAGATTTCTTCCTGGCTTTTCAGCTGTATTATCCATGTCCCCCTCCCTATGCACTGGTAAACCCAAGACACTGTCCTAGGTAGGCCCTTTTGTTTATTCCCTCTATATTTTATATCTGAAGGGTTTCATCAGTTCCTGTGGATTCATCTGTACATAGATGACTCCTAAATGTACACATAACACCCAGCTCTCACCTTTCCCCTGGACTCTAAGTCTATATCACCAACGGCCTACTGCATACTAGATGTCCCCAGACATCTCATGCCCAACATGTCCAGAATAAAACTCATGATCTACCCGGGGTGGGGTAGAAGTTCTTCACAGAAGTTCTGTGAAATTTGGATTCAGTCAAAGAGCCACACTTGGGGACCTGGAGGGCCACATGTGGCCTTGAGGCCATGGGTTCTTCACCCATGAACCCAGGAAAAAGACCTGGCAAAACCTTAGAGGTCATCTATTCCAATCCGTATTGACTGAAGCACATTACTTTCCAACTCTAAATCCTAGGATCCTATGTGTTCTTCTAATTGCTCAACTGGCTCTAAACAAGAGTTTTTAATATAGGATCTTTGGTTAGATTTCAGGGGATCTGTCAACCTGGATGGGGGGAAATTTCATCTTTATTTCCACTAACCTCTAACTAAAGTTTAGCATGTCCCAACTATTTTAAAACATTATTCTAAGAAGGGGTCCATAAGCTTCATCAGGCCACCAAAGGGATCTATGACACAAGAAGGGCTACGAATCATTTCCCTAAAGGCACCTTCCAATTGCAGGGGGGGAGGTGGAGGGGGGAGAGAGAGATAGAAAGAGAGACAGACAGACAGGCAGAGAGACAGAGACAGACAGAGAGACAGACAGAGAGACAGAGACAGAAAGCAAGAGGTAGAGAGAAAGGGAGGAATAGAGAAAGGGAGAGATAGAGAGAAAGAGAGACCGATGGAGAAAGGAGAGAGAGAGAAAGAGAAAAAGAGAGAGACAGAGACAGACAGAGAACCAAGGATGATACATGAGACTGCAGGAAGAACTCCCCCTTCCCTGAGGAGCTGGCCCATTTGGTAGTTTTATATTGTAATTAATTAATTAATCTTCATAACTCTGTGATTCTGAGTCCAATCCCTTCATTTTACAGATGAGGAAACTAAGACCCAATGAGGTTATTTGCTGAAGGTCATAGCTAGTAAATGGCAGAGCTGAATTGCAAAAGTCCTCTCACTCCCAAACCAGGGTTCTCCAAAAAAAAAGTTTTATTGATGTCTTTTAAAATCTTTACACCTGTTTTTTCCCCCAGATACACTTCATCTGATAACACTTCCCTTAAAACAAAGAAAAAACAAAACCAAGAAGCCAAAACAGACTTATAATAACATATGCAACATTCCATACCATGGTACCCCAACTCTCCAATGAAAGGAGGGACATGCATTATCTCATCCCTTTTCTAAGGCCAGTACAGCCGTTACATAACAATGCTATTCTTCAACTATGCATGACCGTACGCTCTGACTATTCAGTCCATATTGCCCAGCCATGACATAACTGACCTGGTTCCTCCCTCGCTGTAGCCTCAGACAAGCTAACTCTTTACAACCTATAGAAATAATAAGAGCTAGCGTTTATATAGTGCTTTAAAGTTTGCAAACACTTGACAAATATTACCTCTTTTTTCCTACACAACAACCCTAGTAGGTAAGTGCTATTATTATCCTTGTTCTACAGATGAAGAAACTGAGACAGAAACAGGTTACCAGACCTGCCTACAGTCACACTGCTAGTATTTGAGGCTACATTTGAACTCATCTCCCTGACTCCAGAACCAGCACCCTATCCCACTGCATCACCTAGCTACTTTCAAAGCTTTCATGGTTGGTTTTTCTTTTGTCTCTTTTCTGTAAGTGCCCTGGTTATATAACCCTAGGGCAGAAGAGCCAAGGCATTTAGGTAGTCCTATATCAGTTATAATTAATAACCAAGGCACAGGGGAAGCCTCTTAGTAATTTCCTTTACCAAGAATATGCTGGTAAATGTTTACCAATTGGATGGGGGGGTGAGGGGGGTGGGGGGGATGATGATATACACAGGACACACTTTTAAGTTTAATCTGCATTACTAACATTTTCTTCACTTTCTTAAGTCTAGAACAGAAATGTCAAACATGTGCCCCACAACACAAAACAACATTGAAAGATGAACAGCTCTTGCTATGAGAGAACTCAGCAGATACTGCATCCAAATAGCAGCCCTGGATGAAATAAGGCTGGCAAACGAAGGCCAGCTTAGCAAAGTCAGAACTGGACACACATTTTTCTGTTTTACAGCCAAATCTAATCTAGTCAACAAGCTTGTATGCCTACCAAAAGGAGTAGACATTAGGCTTACAACAATGCAATTGCACTTGCAGGAAATTGCTACACCACCGTCATCAGTGCCTATGCTCCCACCATGAAAAACTCTGATGATTTCAAAGAAAAATTTTATGAAGACCTGGGAACCCTCATCATCAATGTGCTGAGAGAAGATAAGCTTGTAATTCTGGATGACTTTAATGCAAGAGTAGGCACAGACTATCAGACATGGCAGAGAGTCCTTAGAAGGAATGGAGTCAGAAACAGCAACAATGGTAACCAACGACTGCATTTCATGACCTCATCACCAACACTGTCTCATCTACCCAAAAGCCAGTGTAGCTTCAGAAAGGGCCAAAAAACAGTTGATATGTTTTTGCTGCCTGACAACTCCAAGAGAAATGCCAGGAGCAGAACAGAGGTCTGTACACAACTTTCGTCGATCTAACCAAGGCCTTTGATACTGGCAAAGGAAAGTATTAAGAGGTTCCCCTGTGCCTTGGCTATTAATAATAGTTGACATTGTTTTTCAATCATTTTGGTCATGTCAGACTCTTTATGACCCCTTTGAGTTTTTCTTTTTTTTGGCAAAGATGCTGGAGTGGTTTGCCATTTCCTTCTCCAGCTCATTTTACAGATAAGAAAATTGAGGCAAACAGGGCTAAGTGATATGCCCATGGTCACATAGCTAGTAAGTCTCTGAGGTCAAATTTAAACTCAGGTCTTCCTGACTCCAGGCATGGCATTCTATCCACTGTGCCACCTACTTACCCTAATAGATGACCCAGCACTATCTAATTGCTTCGGCACTTCTGCCCCATGGTTCTGTGGCCTGGAGTCAGGAAGAATCAAATTTTTAAAAAACATTTAATTTAATTTATTTTGAATTATCAACAATCACTTCCATATGCATTTGAGTTTAAAATTTTTCTCCCCCTTCCTCCACACCACCCTCCCCAAGATGGCACACAATCTGATATAAGCTATACATATACATTCCTATTAAACATATTTTCACATTAGTGATGTTGTAGGTAAGAATTAGAACCAATAGGAGGAACCACCAGAAAGAGGAAACAAAACACAACAGAAGAAAAAAAAATAGCAAATAGTATGCTTCGATCTGCAAAAAATCCAATTTAAATCCCACCTCAATCACTAGCTCTATGGCCCTGAGCAAGTCAATTCATCTCTCTCAGCCTCAGTATCCCTATCTGTAAAATGGGAGTGGTAATAACATTTAACTCCCAGGGTGGTTGTGAGGATAAAATGAAATGTTGCAGTTGCTCTTCCAAGCATATACTGCCTCTTCCAAATGGCCCAGTGTGATGGAAAAAGGAGAAGCAAACTCGGTGGTATATGTTGATTCCAAGGACTCATAACCTAAGCTAAGTTCCCAGGTATTGGCATGCACTTTGGGATAGGGAGTGGCTCATAGCAAGTATTCACAGGAGGAAGGATCTGTCAATGGCAGACATATCTTCCTTGTCTTATCTTTAATAATCATAATGACAACAAAAAGATGCTTTCTTATGGATGCTTTTGTTTTTTACCCCTCATTTATATACCAATATACCACTCCGCACTTCACTCTTACTGAACTCTCCCCATAACAAGGGACAAGTTAAGCAAAACCAACATTCTTTACTCAGCCTCTCAACTAAGAGGAGAAACATGTCCCATCATCTGTTCTCCAGATTGATGACTGCAGTTAATCTGAGTTGGTTTAGACCTGTCCTTTCATCACCCAGCCACAGTCTTCCAGGCAGAAGGC